TCATCTCAAAACACGTGTAACTTTCTACTGGAAATGACACTGTGATTTGGAAAGAACTTGGATCCTTTGTTCCTTCTCTATTCTTGCCATTATGTAGAGGAATCTAAGGTATCTTAGCACAATGGGGGAAATCTCTTTGATGTCATCCACACTTTCATAGATAATATAGTGTTTGAAATGTGTTTATTTGGAGTAATTATTTACACGTGACCTTTTGTATATAATTTTTCTGTTGATTGTTTGGTGGATGTTTGACTATTGGATTGGTTGTGTCCCAGGTGGTAATTGATTCTTGTTGTGCAACATTTGCAGAAGTTAAGCAAAGGGGAAAGGATTTCTGGGCCGAGTTTGAATTGTATGCTGCTGATCTTTTGGTTGGGATAGTTGTTGACATTGCTTTGGTTGGCATGTTAGCACCTTATGCTCGTATAGGCAAGCGGTCAATTTCCAGTGGTTTTCTTGGACGCGTACAGCATGTTTGTGGAGCTCTTCCCAGCAGGTGAGTCTGCATTTGTAGGGTATAGATCTCAACTAGCTCTTGGAGTCCTCTATATAAGTTCTGCACTAAGTACTCTTCCTGTTGCAACTTGTTTTCTCTTAACCCTTTGCTTGATGTTACTGAAAGCTAAGTTATCGGTTACGTAGAATTGTTGTCTGATATCATTAGAATGAACAGTGATTGGAAGTTGGAATTACATTTTAAGTTTATATTTTTTATGACCAAGAGTAGGTTGGACAGTGGCTTAGGAAAGAAGCTCGCTGGTGGGTAAGAAATTTGGAGATTTTAGAAAGATGGATGAAGTATTTATTGTTGGTCAACAACTTCCATCTCTGGTAAAATCATGGGATAGCAGTAATCTTCCTTTGCTAACGTAAATGACTTGTAGTAAAATTTTGGGTTGATTTGTAGCATATTGAAAAACAAGAAAGGTATCTTTTCCTAAGAAAGACAAGGAAAAATATTGGANATGTTTCAGAATCTATTGTTTTCTTAGCTTTAACCAATGTTCTAAAAAGCTCGTCTAGGTTGGAAACTTGGGCAAAACACATCGTTTCGCACCTAGACCTTTTTTTTTCCCAATTCCTAAACGGTTGAATTTTTTCATTCGTCTCTTTCGTCTTCCCTATGCGCGTTTTATTAAATCTTTAAATTTTTTAAAACCTTTTATTTGACTTTAGCTTATTACTTTTTTTTTTTATTTTCAAAAAAACTTTTCATTTGACTTTAATTTCAAATTTTTAAAATATTTTATCTATACAAAAGTTAAAAATGACTTTATCTACACAATTAAATAAGATTTAAGTTATGGTGCTATCTGTAATATGTAATTATGATCTTGAGAATCGTTATTTGGTTTCAAACTCCAAAAGCATGTAAGAAATTCCTATAAATGTATTAAGTAGGACTAATTTAGTTGAAAATTGAAACTATGAAAAATATTCTAATTTTTACATTTCGAAAAATTATATAATTGACTAATTGAAGAAATTATTAAGTAAATATAATATTTTATAATTTTAGATGTTTGGTGTGTATTATTTTAATTATTAAATGATTTTTAAAATGATTAAAATTTTAAAATAATATTAAAAATAAGAAAACGTTTTTTTACGCGTGAGCCTCTTCTAGACTCGCTTAAGCTCGTAAAGCTTGAAGTTTCGTCTCCACGTCTAGCCACGTTTTATGTTTTTTAGAACACTAGTTTTAACCCACTTAGGCAGCATGTTAGAATTGTACCTCTGTATGTTAAGAGCCTTCCCGGCAAAATTCTATTTATATATAATTGAACTTAGATGTCTTGTTGCATTGATATGGGGATAGTTTAAGTGAAGGTACAACATGTAAAATATAAAGAAAACGAATATATTATTCATCATAATAATCTTGATTAAAAATTCATTGCAAATTGCCTAATAATCCTAAATGATTTTCTGAACAAGCCTCAAACAGGTCTCTAGCATCCAATTGAACTGTTAGCCACATATGTTTTGGAACCTTCATAGTTCTTCTAATTTTTGAACTCCCTTTTTGAGATGCTGATTCTGAGCCAATGGCAATGCAAATCTTTCTTGCCACAATCAGTGATCAATGGATTATGTGATTGTAAATATTTGTGGTCATATAGTGTTTTTGAAGCTGAGAGACCGGGAATCAAGTTTTCATCACAGCAGCGGATCGCAACATACTTTTACAAGGTAATACCTGCTAAGGACTCATCCAATTACCTTTATGCTACCATGAATTACCTGAAGAAATGTCTTTGCTTTCTCATCTTCTATGCCCAGTCGTACACGAAGCTTGACTGAGACTTGTAGTTACATGGTTTTTGTTGTTGATTACTGATGTACCTATTTGGAATGTAGGGTGTATTGTATGGCTCAGTTGGATTCGGTTGTGGCCTTATTGGCCAAGGCATTGCAAATATGATCATGACAGCTAAACGGTAAAGAGCAATATTTGATCTCTTCTCCCTCTCTCTTTCATCCATATATTTTGTGTGTTTTTAAGATCTTGATTGATGCATTGGCAATCAGTTAACTGCTCTTTTTGCTAGTGAAATTGTGCGTAATCTAGACTTTATGCTACTGAAGGAGACAGCGTGTTCATTCAAGAAATTTAAATCTAAATACTTTTCCTTGCAAAAGATAAAATTGATCATAATTGTTTCTACTAATCTTCACTCAGTCTCCTGGAGAGCTCAGAAGAATAGGAGTTTTTATTATTTGTCTCGAGTTCTGTTGTATATAATAGACTAAATGTATCACCTAAGGAAATATTTAATCACGTTGTTTGTTGTTCTGCAAACTATCAATGATTTCTCCTATTGGCTGTTGTGAGCTGCTGTTACCCTCTTTTACCTATATGGCTGTATCTTTCTACATGACAGGAGTATAAAGAAGTCAGAAGAAGACATACCTGTTCCCCCATTGGTGAAAAGTGCTGCCCTCTGGGGTATGTTTAATTTTTTACTTGAAATGTTTACATTTTTTTTAGCCTTGGGAAGATATGTGTACACTAATAATTGCTACATCCATCTTGATGTATAACGGCCATATAGTGCTTTGTCTCTTGAGATCAATATGATAACAGGCATCGGGATAACTGACATTGAAGACTGATTTACCCAATATTAGAGGCGTAAACAAAGAGGAAAATAGTAGGGTGCAAGGGAAATATGATGGGTTTGGGAGGTTAAAGATTCAAGTTATTAAAGAGGCAGAAAACGAATAGTTCTGTGCTGACCATTTATGCAATTATGCTTCAAGAACTTTGAAATTAAAGAAGAAAGAGAACAAATGTTTGCAATTGATATTTTATTTACCTGACTAACCTTCATTTTCAGCTGACATAGGAATTCTTTTTCAGTAGTTTCTTGTTGCTTGTCGTAGTTGGCCCTGTTTACCATTATTCATTCCTCTCTCTCTCTCTCTCTCTTCTCAATCAGGTGTTTTTCTTGCGGTATCTTCGAACACTCGTTACCAGATTATTAATGGGTTGGAGCGTCTTGTAGAAGCTTCGCCATTGGCAAAACAGATCCCACCAGTTGCCATGGCTTTCACAGTAGGTGTAAGGTTTGCCAACAATATATACGGTGGAATGCAGTTTGTAGATTGGGCTAAATGGAGTGGAGTTCAATAGTTGTTCTTGGCAGAAACTTCAATATTTTTTCAATTGGCATATACGTTCATTCAGAAATCGAGAAACACACGCCCATAAAGAAAATGGGAATGAAACAAACGATGAACAGCAGCTCAAGCAGAAGCTTTTATCTTCAATATGGCTTTATTTTCTAGTACTAGCTTGAGAGCTCAATTGGAGCTCGGTTTAAATTTATTCGTAGTGGGGGCCTTCGACTCCGTGATAGAAAGACTCTTCTCGTATTTCTGAGTAGGATAGTGAAGTTATGTTCGAAAATGCTCCAGATTCGTTTTCTATTAAGCTTTTGTCCGCATAATGTAATCCGTTACACTGGTATTATTGTTCGGTAGTGATTGTTTATGATATATTTTTACTATATTTTTGGTGGCACATAAATCCCCATACGATGATTGTGTTTTTGTAGGTATGCACCAGTGCTGTAGTAACTAAAAAAAGACCTAAAATTCATAATAACGTTATTATACAAAGTGAAAGTAAAGTACCTTGGAATTCATTTGTCCAATACTCTGCAGGTTGTATTCTATATGATTTTGTAATGGCAGATGGTCTGGAAAAAACAGCTTACTGTTGATCCCACGGAGCTATTGCTCAATCACTTGAAGTCAGTATAGATATTTATAGAAACCGACGCTCAAAATTTCTTCTCACGTCTCTATTTATTGGACCTATTTGGGATCGTTAGTGCTTCTACCTTTTTACTTCTGAAAAAATGTCTAAACGGTTCAAAAGTAATTTTTTATATCTCGAAAGCAGCTTTTCACCTTTAAAAAATCGTGACAAATATATCCTAAATGTAGATTGAAAGAAGCTTTCATCTATAATCTTATTTATTACTGCTACGATTTGTTTTCTTAGTTCTATGATATGGTTCAAACTGACTTTTCGTGAAATATAAGATTTCGTCCACTAGATTTTAGTATAACAATTTTATATTATACCTGTATGGTATAGCATTTGTAATGAATGATTACAACTTGTTATGGATTTTAAATTCTTAAACCAAATCTGTCAACCACTACTTAAATCTTATGATGGCCTTTTAAACTACACCTTAACATCAATCATATGGACGTTCTCTCTGTAAATGATAACTCTACCACACCTTACTTTGTTGACAAATTAAAAATTGTCAAAAAGGTTTTCTAGTTCGAGCACCAAATTTAACCATACTCAATCCTTCTTATCAAAACATTCCTTATCAAATATGCCATCAGTGGTTTCCATTTCCCTTTCTTTCGTCTCAAATTGGTGTGGCAAAGCATTGTTTCACCCACAACACAATGCTCATTCGTTCACTACGGGTAAATTCAAAAAGAAAAAAAATACAGTTTTTTCAATAAAAACTAAAGAAGTTCACGTTCTAAGAATTCATAACGTACTATGTTCCCACCCAAAAAAAAGAAAAAAAAAAAAAGTTCAATACGAGATCGACAATTGGATGACAGGCATTCTACTTATATTCAGCCAACAGAAATCATCTTTGGATAAATAAAGCAAACTCATCAGCACAAATTTTGTTAAAACGTCCTGTCAAAATCATGGACTGCGGCCTAAACTAATGCTGATAATAACTGCCATAATTTCCCGAGACAAGCTCTAGTAGGTATGTATACTGCATGACCATGAGGAACTGAAAATTTTATAATTTTGATGCTTCACAAAGTTATACATTGGTTTCATGGAGCTATACATTTATAAACCATTAGTATGAAAATATGAGATACACAATATGTACTTGTTTGGTGAGTAGAATGTCGTATTTACCTGTATGGAAGCTCTGTAGATGACTGTGCATGAGTTCAACTGTTCAAGGGGCAACTTCAGATATTTTTCTTCAACAACAAAAAACATCATCTTCAACTATTCCAGCACGTTGTTCAATATTTCACGTCACAAATGTTGTTCAGCACAAACTGCAATAGCAAAAAAGCGCTCCTCAATTTGTGCTTTAACAATTGCTTCCTCTGTGATTTACCAAAACGCATATCCAAGTTTATGGAAGGGGGTTGTGAGAGAGAGGCAAACTTCTCTTGTTACAACACTCAAAACAAAGAGAAACTTTTTCGATGTCTGGAGTGACGGGAGGAAGATTGTGCCTGCTCGACTGATGCTCTGGGAGTTGGTGCTGTGCTCTCCACGACATCTGGTTCAGCATCGGAAGACCGGGGAAGCAGCCTGCATCCAATCCTCCGAGAAATGAACCGAGGGGAACTAAGGTAACTATGTGACTTGCTTGCTTTTTTCATTTCTTCCTTAATTTTAGTGAATTCTTGTTCTAGCTCTCCAACTCGAGTTCTCATCCTTTCCATGTCAACTTTTAGAACCTGGTTCTCACGAACAACTGTTACCCACCCATCTCGTTGAACAGTTTGACCAGTTATTTCATTTGGGGCAGTCATTGAAGCCGCGGGGGCACTTTCAGTATCCAAACCATTCAGGCAACCGGCTAAAGCCCTCCTCAGCTGCATTTGTTCAAAGAATAAAACTTGAAGAATAACTCTAAGGGGTAACCTTCCATTTTGGGATGCATGAGCACAGGCATCAATAGAAAGCTTCTGAAAATCAATAATGTTGCAAAGATGCTCCATCTCTTTCTCTGAGAGCCAGGGATGTGCCTGAATAATTTCATGAAAATTCATCAAAATCAAAAAGCGAGAAGCTTTTTGGCATATGTTGCAGCAAAGACTTCTCTAATAATATGTAGAAATGAGATTATACCTTCTATTCATATTACAATCTAGAAAAAAATTATTCTTTTGATCGCATTTTCTCTATTTAACATATAGAACGGTGCTATTTGACTTCTTAATAGGATGGAAATGCTATGTTAAAATTTTAAGCATAAGATGATTCGAACCTTGAAGTATATATCTAGTGCTCGGTAGAGTCCATCATGCAAAGATCTTGAAGATTCTGGCAAGGCTTCTGCCAACGCACATATCTTTCCAGGCTTCAAGTTCACATCAGAAGCAACCTCCGCTATATAGTTATCAACCAATCTGGCAACTCTCTTCAATCGTCCAGATGATGGTGATGTTTCTAGGTCCAATGATGATGGAGAAATAGAAGTTACATTTGGTTCAGAAGATACAAAATGATGAATAATCCTTTCAAAGCAATCAGTGTTATATAAAGTATCGGAATCTGAGTAACTAGGTATAAGTAGACTATCAAGTGTTGCAAGTTCTAGCTGCATCCCTATTCTCCTTTCCAAAGAGTCCTGGCACGTGTGGTTAACCCCCAATATCAATGCAACACGTAGAAGTCCCAACAGAAAACGACAAAAAGATTTACCCTTCTTTTCAGGCAGCAGTTTCACAATGCTTTCCAATAGAACTCTCTGGTCAACAGCAGCAGGCGTCATGCTAAAACTAGCAACCGATCTGGATATGCCACTTTGTCCACCCTGCCTACGGCCCAACCCAGGAATATGCTTTTTGCAATAATACATTATAGCACCAGATAAATTTTCAGGTAGTATTCCTCTGGCTTCCATCGACTGAATTAGTCTCTTGAACAACTCAACGTTGAGATATGAGATGTCTTCGAACCACCAGTTGGATTCTATGCTATGGATTCTTGCACCAGTGTTTATCCCATTCCACAGGATGCTACCTCCCGGGCTCTGCAAACTACCATACATCATCATAGGCCATCCGAACAGAGTGGTGTCAGTACAGACCATAGCAGATAAAGCGTTCAGACATCTACCAACTATGTGAAGCTTTTCCGCTCTTGAAATAACTGGTTCACAACTCTGGAGAGCCAAAATGCAGTCCTTCCAGTTTTGTAGGACATGTTTGTGGAAGAAACTCTCTGACTTGGGCAACAAATTATCTTCTCCATAATCATCTGTCATCTCAAGGTAATCTGCAGCACAATACACCATTACCACGTTCCTAGGAGTCAACTCTACTCGACTACCATAACAGAATTTAACTATAGCCAAAAATGTATCAGATTGACCAGGGAATTCTTCAAGATTAACCACGATACTTTTCTTGTTGGTAATCTGTGTTTCTTCAACAATGTTTGCTATCCTCCCACATCTAGATAGAAGAGGAAACTGGAAAAGAAGCATTTTTTTATGAGGCTGTGCAGAAACACACTTAATCACGATGAAAAACAATGACCACAGCTACTGAGATGTGATTTACAGGAAAATAAAGATGCATAACTTGAAGATAGACGCTGATAACCAATAAGAAAGGTACTCACGTGTAGAAACACACAGGAAAATGGAAAAACTTCAGAGGCAAGAAAGGGATAACCCTTAAAAAAACTCTGGAGAGTTTATCCAAGTTCAGGTGGAAAATAGATAACAACCAAAGATACGAGTTATCGGAATGAGCTGGGATCCGAGAAAATCATTAAAACAGCCCTAGATCAATTGGAAACAAGTTTTACACAAAAATCATCTTCACTCAAATACAAATGGTGATTCTTATTCCCAGTTATCAACATATTGTTACAACCTCGTCCCTGCAATAACCAATAACTCTAATGAACAATGATAAATAAGGAATTCATGTAACTGATACTCCTTAATGATTTCACATGATTTTACTTGTAAAAATGTGCTTTCCAGATTAAGAAATTTAGTTTTTAACTATCAGAACAAAAACTACTAAGAAATGGAACGGCTGCATCAGATGAAAAGTGAATTACGCTACTAAGATTCTCAAAATTATGCAAAGAAATCCCCAAAACTTACTATCCAAATTAAGGCCGTAAATATAGGTATAAACTAAACAAGATTATGCTACCTTTTGCAGTATATTATGATATAAAATTTATTCAACAAGCATATGGGAATACGACTTGAAGGTAGATAACAAGAGTTTTTACCTCATGTCAGACTAAAATGTTTGCTTTATTCTTTCATGTGGCCATAGGCCAGAAATGAACAAAGTCATGCTTTTCCTTAAGTGATCATGGTTTTAAAATAACAAGAACAACAAAATTGCATCAATTAAACA